TGGAAACAATTATGACAACTAGAATTAATAAAAATTACGAAAAATAGTCGACTAGACTTTTCTGCTAATGTAATCATAAACAAGCTCAATTAGCGACAGGCAAGAAACAGATGAATATTTCCTTAAGGTATATATTTACAAAGATGTATGTCATTGTATGTATGTATGTGAAGAAAAATAAACCTATATTGTTGGGCCAGAGTAATAAAAAAAATAAAAACTCTGTTGTCTGATATATGAGATGTATTCACGCCATTTCGTTTAAGGTTTCCACCAGGTCTGAGTCACCTCAACATTCATAGGCGAACTTTAATCCGTGTAATGTCTTTAATGTGGCGACACTTTAAGAATCTGTCACTGAGCATACGTGGCTTTCGAGGCGGACAAAGCCAGTTTTGGTTGGAGCCTTGATGAGGTGAAGCTGGTTTTGCCGATTTCATTTTTATTTCGTGCGAAAGTGTGTGAGGAAAATGTAATTATGCTTGATTGCTAGACCAACAAATAATGAAGGTTTTGGCCGGCTTGAAGAAAGGAGTTGAATCAACTGGTCTTCTATTGCTGATGCTTCTAGCCATGATCCAACATACTTTACGTCTTTGTTCACTCTTGCTCTCTTACACCGACAATAACTAATCTATTTAACCAGACGCCTGTCCGACATTACAAAATAGAAAAAAGAGCTGGTCGTGGTCATTCATTCTTGACCACTCTGAGTATAAGATTAACCGATAAAGGACCTTGCTATAATGAGTTAGATGGACTTGAACTAATATTAAATGAGCATAATTATTCAATAGGTTTGTTTTAATTTCGAATTAGTTTAAGAAAACTTGAGAATAAATGAAAAACAGAGAACATTTTTCATCTCATTTTGGCTTCATGCTATCTACCTAAGAAGCTAGGCAACCTGATAAGAAAGTAGAGGATTAAAATGTTTTTCTTTCAGAACATTACAGCACTTTTGTGCCTATAGGCTAACTCAGGTATTCATTTAAGATGTTTTAAGTGTTTACTGAACAAAAAACTCATTTTCTTTCTTTTAGATGCTAGCCGTACTTCTTGAATAAGAACTTAGTCGCCTTGTGTCGCCTGAAGTGAGATTGTTCCACCATGATTTGAGTAGGCCTCAAAATAACAACCTTCCACAAGGTTTTATATTTTATATTTTGACGAAGACTAGACATCATCACCTTAAACAGCCTGGCATGCTGAAGTTATTTTCTAAGAATTACAGACTGTCTCGAAACCTATTCACAACAAAAATAAGTAACCAGAAAATTTAATCATCATTCATTCATCACTTCATATATTCGACAGCCTATTTGAAACGAAAAAAGGCTTAATCAGTGCTTGGGCACAACTTGTATGCATGCTTAGGAGTATTGTCCTGCTAGAAACTGAATCCTCTGCCACACAATTTTATGCCGTCTGCAGAATGGAATGGTACTTTTGCCTTAATCATCACTTTTATTCTATCTGGTCTCGTTTCTACAAAGTTTCGCGGAATTTGAGAGTTTAGAGAATCCCAGAAAGTCTCTTGTCATTTTGCAATATATCCACCATTTCTCCCAGTTAAACATATGCATAATCGTATTTGTATTTGTAGTCGGTAGGAATATTGTGTGATTTTTGTCGATCCACCAGACTTACTGCCTATTGACATCCCTTCTTTTTCTATGCTCCAGCGTCCCATTTTACTGCGGCACCTTGGCGACGAGAACCTCGACACCGAGGTGCGCATTGAAGCGTACACCGGTTTGATGTCCTGTCCGGATGCAGGCCTGCTTGAGGGTCTGTCTGACCTGGTTGCCAGGACAGACGCAGCTCAGGTGACCGGCTACATCGCCAGTCATCTGGCCAACCTGCTGGCCGAAGAGAGGCCGGCAAGCCTGGAGTTCCGACGTCTTTTGCAGGAGGAGATGGTGAGCTCGAGACCCCGCGGTCTGGCGGGTCTGCTCGCCGAGCCGCGACGGGGTCGGTCTCGTCACTTTCAGTACAATCTGTCCAGATTCCGTCTGGAAGCCAGTCTGGTCTGGTCCGACGCCTCGTATCTGCCCAGAAGGGCCGGGGTTCGGCTGACCGAAGTGTGGCTGGACCGGCGTTCGGTGCTGCTGGAGGCGAGTCTGCACTCCGAAGGACTCGAGCCTCTGTTCGAGCGTCTGTTCGCGGCCAGCCTCAACGGCGACCTGCTCGTCTTCTCGCGCTTGCTGCCGCGTCTGATGGACGCGATGCCCACCATTCAGGCCGGCCTCGAGCTCCGTCTGGCCGGACACGAACTCGCCTCTGTCCATTTGGACGCCGCCGACTCGGCCGAGCCCATGCTCGCGGTAACTCAACTTCTCGCCGCGCTGAAGGCCGGTCTTCAAGACTCGAACCGGCGCTCGAGCGACGCCTCCCGCGATGCCCACGTCTGGCTGACGGACTCGAGCCTCATCTGGCCGACGCAGATCGGCTTGCCCATTCGTCTGGCCTCGCAACTCACCGCCAGCTCGAGCGCGGCTCTGCGAGTCGGCGCCGATGCCGAACAGGCCGCCATGACCGGTCGACTCGACGCCTCGGTCTCGGCTCTGGCCGGCTTCAGTCTGGCCCTCCGACAGACGGCCAGCATCCTCGGCCTCGGACCCGGCGGACTCGACGACGGCGAGTTCGGACACGGCGTCCAACGCGAACTCGACGTGCACCTCGATTGGTCGGTGCAACTGTTGCTGCAGGCATGGCGACGTTTTCGCGTCGAATTGGCCAGTCCCGAGCCGGTGGCCGCCTGGCAACAGCCGACCCATGTGGGACTCGGCTACCGAGCCGGTCGAATCCGGATGGAGGCCGGTCTTGCCAGACTCGTCGCCACGCAACCGCCGGCACACTCGACGTGTACCTTCGAGGCGACCAGTCGACTGGTTGACATGCGCGTCTGCTCCGCCAGCAGTCATCCTCTCGACAGTCTACTCGAGGCAGTACAGGCGTCGGCGCATCTTCGTCTGCTTCGCAACACACCGGCCAGTCGACAGATTGTCGAGATCTCAGGACCGCTTGGTGCGACGGCCGAGGGCGACCTTCGCCATCGTCTCGTTCGAGTTCAGTTGAGTCGGGTGGTCGGTTGCGACGACGACGGCGACGACGGCGACGACTCGAGTGCACATTTGGGGCCCGGCAGTCACTTGTTGCTCGAGGCCAGACTCAGTCCCGACTGGCGTTTGGCGGGACTCGAACTCGTCTCGCCCTGGTCCACCGGCCGGGTTTGGATGGATCTGACGGCTTTGCCGAGACAAGCCGAACTGTTGGCCGTCAGCAACGGCTATGAATGGGCTCGCGGCGTCTTCAAGTTTGGTACCGTTCTCCTGCCGCCGCATGACGGCCAGACCGTGTCGAGGGGACGCGAAACGACGGCCAATCTGAACCTGCAGGCGGTAGGACGTCGGTTGGGCTTGACGGCAATGCGTCGAGACGAGTCGGCCAAGAAAAATGATGATGGCGGTAGAAGTGAATTTCGTCTCAGCCTGACCCACGGAGACGAGGAGCAACTTCTGTACCAAGTTGGGCTGGAGGTGAAACATCTGCAGCCCACCTCCGGTCTGGCCTGGTTGGCCAAGGATCACAAGAGTTTGATCCACTTCCAGCAGACCCTGTCCGACATTGCAAAGACCTCGATGACCGGCACCATCTCCACGGACTACCAGTTGGTCGCCTGGCAACTAGCGTTGTCTCACACCTGGTTGATGCCGGCTGCCGGGCCGTCGTTTCGCCTCCTGTGGAGGCAGAAGATCGAGACCCTACCACTCACCACCCTGCGATCGATGCGTATCTCGGGCGACCTCACATTGTTGACCCCTCGCGGTTGGCTGGCCAAGGCCACCTTTTCTCCGGTCGGCAATGTCGACTTTAACAATCTCGTCGAATTGGGCCATCAACATGTCACCTCGAGTCTACGCATGCAAATGCGAATGTACAACCGAGACAACTCCGACAAAACCGTCTATGAAGACGCCATAGAGACCCGTCTGTATCTGGGCTGGGAGGAGAGGGAGACCGGCCAACGGAGGTACGAGGGCAAGGTGAACTTCACTCGACCAAAAGGGGACAGCAACTACGCCGGAGTGATGACGGTGTCGAGGAGCGTGAATGTTCTGATGCTGGAGGGTGATGTTTTCGAGGCGAACCGACGCTTCGCCAGTCTCAGCCTCAATTGGGCCTTTCTTGACTTGTACTCGGCCAATTACATTTTCGACTGGCAAGTCGCATTGCCCATCTCCGTCTCGCTTGACTGCCTGAAAGTGTACCACTTTCGACGGATTGCCATGCAGTCGGCCTTTCGTAGCATCGGAGTACGGCATGCCGAGATCGTGTGGAAGGTGACGGGTGATGCTGTGGACCTGCGAGAGTTGGGTGAAGATGCGGCTCCCACGCTTTGGCGAACGGCGCCGTGGATTGAGGCTCGTGGAGACTTCAACAAAATCGACAAATTCGGCAGAAGAGGAGCCCTCAACGTGCTGTTGGAACGTCTTCCTCAGACGACCGAGAGTACAGGCCGCTCCGCAGGTGTTGATCGTTTCATGATCATCCCGAAATTGGAGGCGTCCAGTTGGCAAAGGTTGAAACTGACCTTCAACTACGACGTGTTGGAGTTGATGGAATTGTCGAAGAGAGAAAAGGCAAATGCTAAACTGAAACTGGCATTTGTCTTCTTCTCGCCGGCCAGTCAACAACTGTCGCATACAGCACAACTTCACATTGTGGCCAGTCCCAAGAATCACGGCTTCGTGCACAACCAAATCGACTTTGACCTCGAGGAGACCGAGCAGATGGGCTACCTGACGTCGAGGCCGGAGTCGAGCATGGACTCGAGCCTACGACGTCGAACACGTGAAAAGTCGAATCAGGTCGCCTTTCAACTGACCGCCAGCCTCAACTCGCCGTGGCTGATGGAGGCGAGTCAGTTGAAGGCTCGAGTGATACGTTCAAGTGGGATGCTGGAATTGGTTGGCGCCTGGAACCGTGATGGTGTGTTGGTGTACGCGTTGAGTCATCGTCCGCGTTTGGGCAGCTTGCGGCAGAGAGGCGAGTTGAAGTTGGTGTCCGCGGGGGAGAAAGTGAAATGGCTGGTTTACTCCACTCAACTGGACATGTTGCGTCTTGACAGTCGAGTTCAACTTCACCTCTCGTCGCTGGGACCGATAGAAGCGTCGGCCATGTACGATTTGGGCAACGGTTGGACGGAAAAAGAGGTGACCGGCTCGATCAGTTTGAGTACACCGTTTCCGGAGTATCGCATCTTCCATTTGGGCGCTTCTGGCATCGGCCAACTGCGCTACGTCAAATTGGATGTCGACGCGAAATGGGGCGAGGCGAGACGAAATCAACGAGCTCGCCTCGAATTGGTGCTCGAGCCGAAGGATCGAAATCACTTCAACGGAATGCTGAAAGTGGTTCCGGTCGGACTGGTCGTTGAGATTCGTAATGAATACTTCTCGTGGGAGAAAATGGCCACTCAGCTCGGCTTTAGCTACGGCGATCGGATCAGCCTGAACTGTAGACTTCGGCTCGAACGAATTCAAGAGACCGGCTATTCGCAGTATTGCTTCGAGATCGCCTCAGAGTCGAATCTGCTGCCTCCGATAGAAGTCTCATTTGCGCACAATCACAAAGATCCCAGCGGTCTGAAGTCACGCCTTCTGCTCTCCTATGACCAGGAATTTGCGGAATTTTGGTACATTCTGGGAGACACGATCTCCTCTTCTACAGGAAGACTGGCAAAAGGCTCCATTCAGGTGAAGCTGAGAAGTTCCTATCCTCCGCTTCGAGAAGTGTACACAAAAGCGAATCTGGACAGACTCGATCTGATCAAGGATTTCGGCCTTTCCATGCGACGCTGCGAAGCCAGCCTCTTGACAACGTACAATGGCAACAAGCTGCTTCAACTCAATGGTGCCCACAACCGGACAGGTCTGGACGATGAGTTTCATTCTCTCGTCGATCTGGAGACTCTGTGGACGCGAAAAATCATCCTCAAAGACACAACGCTCTCCATCACACCGGACAGTTGGAATCTCAAATCGGGCGGTACAATTCGGTACGGTGATCACTTTGTGCATTACTCGGTGCCTGTCTTTCAGTTGGACACATCGACAGAAAACTATTCTGGCAAAGTTGAGATGGAGGCGAGAATAAGAGACTATCAATTGCGACTGCAGTATTCAACCCATCCCGACGACGGAGCTGAAAGCGTCAGCATGGAAATGGGCAAAAGTCGACATGAGCATGCGATGGCGTTCAGCCTGTGGAGAAACTGGAAGACCCATCTCACGAAGTGGGAATTGGAGGCGCCGCTGTTGGGCGTCAAGTATGCCGGCAACGGCAGCATTCTGTACCAAAATAAGGCGGATCTCTTCTTGGTCGACTTGGCCTATGCTCTGCGTCTGCCGAGTCTCGCCTATCAAATGGACGGAGCTCTTTTCTGTCGGGTCGACAAGGTGAATGTAAATATAACCCTTGAGACGACATCGAACATGTTGATCGGATCCAGATCGTGGAATGCATCTGTGGACTTTCAGTTGACAGGATCCGAGTTGACCGAGCTATCGCATCGTTCTCAAGTCTCAGTTGCTGTCTCGCATCTCTTCACGGTTCAATGGACCAATCTTCTTCACAGGCCAACACATCCTTTTGGCCAAGCGAAATCCTTCTTTTCGTTGGATCTTAGACCGGTGCTTCCGCAGTGGTACCACACGCAAGAGTTGCTGTTGGACAAGCGTAACAAGACCTATCACTACACCGTCATGTCACAGAGACTGGGAGTCCATTTCCTGCTGCACTCGGATCCGATGTTGAAGACTGTTTCGTTGATGAGGCTAAGACCGGAGCTGTATCATCTGCTCCTCCTGGAACGACGACACAGCACCGACTACTCCAGCCTTGACGCCATTCTCGTTAATCCTTTGAGTAGATCGGCGAAACAGTTGAAGTTCTCCCACAGACTGTACCACCTCGAGGGGGCACAGTTTGCTGTCAACATTTCTGCTCTGTTGCTTTCTCGTGTTGCCATGGACACCAGCGGTTCCGGAGTCATCATGCGACTGGACTGGCGAGACTTTAGAAAGTTGCTCGATGTGGAATTGATGCTCGAGGGTGTTGTGGGAAGTTTGGGTCGTCTGTTGGCTGAAGTGGAATTGTCGAATGGTCGAAACAGTGGATTTGTGAAGACCACCTACAAAGACATACATTCCATGAACATGTCCATCGCCGTCAACAGGACGGCTGCCTTGAACGCCACTTTGGAAGTGCAACTGTATCGCAATTATCCGCAACACTTTGCCATGTGGCATCATTTGGCCAACGATGCAAAGCGGTTTGTTGTCAAAAGTGGTATGCAACAGTTGCAGACTCGTTGGTATGAAGTGGAACTGTCAAGTTTGCGCGAGGAAGAAGATGCCGTCAAAGTGAACTATTTGCTTGCTTTAGAGAATCTAAAACTTCAAGGCAGGTATGTTGTGGCGGATGACATTTTGCTGGAGACACACTTCAACTTCACCGATCGGATCCAATTGAGACAAGAGCTCGCTTTGACGAAGTGTGAAAGTCGCTTTCGTTGGTTCACACGATTGGGCCGACCAACCGACTCCGGCTTCGTGGAAGTGGTCAGAAAGACCGAAGGTGATGCTCAACCGAACAAAGGGTTCATCGTCAGTCTGGCCACGTGTTGGCGGGCATCAGTCGGCTTCAAAGAGTTGACAACAGATGCTCAATCGTCTCCGCGACACGAAGATATTGTCGAATTTCTGGAAGCCCACTGCAAACACACCAGCTACGGACTGGTAGAATCAACGACCTGGCAAACGCGACCTGACAAGTTGCGATTCGTCCTCGGAGCCTTGGTTGGTCTGCCCAGAGTCACGCTAACAACAAGCAGCACCGAGGCCCGTAAAAGCATCAATGCAACCGTCGGCAACTCGCAGGCTTCGGCCAGTCTGGTCAACAACCGTGACGCTTTCGATGTTCACATGACGGCAAGCTCTCCCGTGTTGCTGGGCCGTGAAGAAGTGACCGCTTCTATCGGGTTCAGGAAAAGTGGAGTCCACCTCAACGTTGTGCTACCCTATTTGACAGATCCACGTGGTCTCACCCTTGGCTACCATTCAAGTTGGGCAGACGAAGAGATAGAATTGTGGTTGTCGTTGCCCGAGGTACCACTCTTGGGGCCAAATCGTCCACCCAGACTGGCGTGTGGCTTACACTTTGTCCACAAACATCATGACATCCTCGTCATGGCAACTGGAATTCGAGCCTACCGTGCATACGGACAGAATGAATCACACAACTGCCCGTCTGGATTGTACGCCGGGACTCGAAGTTACGGTCATCAAGGCGACTGGCGACAGGGTGTGGTACCGTCAGTCAGGCAAGTTTGGGCCTGGAGCATCCACACAGAGGTGAGATTGAAAGCTGACGAAAAGTCGGCCGAAGGTCTGGTTGCCGTGGAGATGGGGCAGACCTACAAGACTGGCTATCTGGCGCTTTGGCAATGGCTGGGCGAGAGTATTCACGACGAAATGGCCTTCGCTCTGACCGATTTAGAGGATTGGGGTTGTGGTCGGGTTGTTTCGGGTTTTGCCAACCTTCGAGCCGTTTTGACTCGGACGACTGAACAGGTCGTGAGCGGCAATTGGTTGACAGAGCATGGATACCTTTTGATCGGTCGGAGCAGGTCGACGAAACCAGATCTGCCGAAGATGTTGCAGATCGGCTGGTTGGGATGGCTGCTTTTGCGTGATCAAGAGGCGGAGATGTTCTTCAACGGCCGACTGACGCATCGACTTCAAGTTGGGCTGAAGATGGAGCCGGGAAATGGTGAGAATTTCACACTTTTCTTGCTGGCCCAAGATCTGACGACGCGAGAATCGGAGAAACCGGAGCTGGGGGCCGTTCTCGACTTCACCACAACGTCACACGGACTCTCCTCTCTGGGCTTCAATGTCACAAAAGCCGGACTCGAGTACCTCCGGTTGAACGGAGCATGGCAGTCGAGTTTGCAAAGTCCACAAAGTCTGCCATTCCAGTTGGCATCATTCGAGCTGAGTGCTCCAAAACTGGATCCACACTTCATTGTGGACTACAAGTGGACCCAAAGTGGCGAGATTCGGGTTAAATTCAACTCTCAACTGCCCAATTGGATGCCGGTCAGACGAAGGCTGGTGAGGCTGATGGCGAAAGCCAGATTGGCGGGGCTCGAGCAGACGTTCACGAGTGGCAAACTTGTGCTGGACAGTCCTTGGACGGCGGTGAAGAGGACGGAGCTTCAAGTGGAGAAGCCGGACGATCGTGGACGACAAGCCTGGCGCATAACCTTCACGGAAGATGACGCCTTGGAGGCGAAGTATGCCCATTCCGGCTGGCTCGTCCACAAACGTCAACATGCGGCTTTCGCCGTCTTCGACAACAGTCCGGCGAAGCATATCTTTCTCCTCAACACTTGGAACTGGACGGAGGATGTCTCATTTGCAGGACAACCATTCGGCCTAAACGGAACTCTTGAAGTGGCCAACATTTTCTCCTCTGCCTGGCGTCTGATGCTGAGTCCGAATGAGGATGGGAGATTCATCGTGAATGTTGCCACCGGCCAATCACAGAACTTGCAGCCTCAAAGTGTGCCCTTCTCTTTGCTGTATGCATGGTCTTCAGAGGGAGTGAAAGAGTTTGAGGTCAGACTGCAAGATCTCATGAGACCGGGACTCGAACCCATCAATACGTCTCAAAAATCAAATGTCAGACAAGAGTTGAATCGACCGGACGGAGTGAGGACGTCGAGACAGCTGATTGGGTTGTATAAAAACGTGGCTGGAACGAGGCTTGCTCAAGTCGTCTATGCGGGGGGGCATGAGTCTGAGGTCGGGCCGTTTCGGATGGTAACTATGCCTTCAACACATGTCAACTTGACCCTTGTATGGGGTAGCGAGTCTGCAAAGGCAATGGTTCAGTTTACACCTCCAAAATGGTCTGCTATTCGACAGCCCGTTGAGGTATATCTTGCTCTGCATGGCCTAGAAGTGAACAATTGTAGAATGGAGCTTTTCTACCGAAAACTCTACCCTCAACAACCTCTTCGGACGGAGCCACTTCGTGGAGGGTCTTTTGAGTTCAGAAATAGACCCAATCTTCAGGTGTACAGATTAGCTATCGACGAGCCGGTCATTCTGGCTAGAAAACTTGAAGTTGGCATAGATTCGCAGAAAAAATTGGCCACTTTCACACAACTCAAGTCATTTACAGACGAAGTGATTAGAGAATTATACATTCGATTGATCGACAAGGATTCCGGGAATAATTCATCTATTTGCCCATTGGCGGCCAAATTCTGTCTCCAGGTCAACTGGAAGAATGCGCCTGACAACGAAGTGATTTTGCGGTTCAATTCTCTGCCGGACAGTCAATTTGAGACGGAGCTCAGTCTAAACCGGAGGAAAGAGGAAGACCTGTTGCTGGGGGGTATTGAACGTGTATCGTTTGCCTGGAGAGACGAAGTAAAACTGTTGCATGTGAAGACGATTGACGAGGTGCTATTTCACGTTCAACTCAAGTCAGACCTTCTCACAAACAGTGGACATCTTCTGACGGCTGAGTTGAGAGGCGATACCAAACGAAACTTTGTTGTCGAATTCGCTCGAAACCAGCGATTGCGACTTGAATACAAGTCGAGAGTGAAGCAAACCGATCGTACCATCTCAACCTGGAGCCTGTTGATGCGGCGGAAAGGTCCTGAGGTCAGTCTGGACTTTCTCGTGAATGCAAGTCAAATGTTACAGTTGCAAGGCAACCTGGTGACCCAGCTTTCGGGTCCACTTCCGCTCTTCCTCCTCCGGCTGGAATGTACCGAACACGACGGTGTCGAATATGCGGTTGCTTTCAAGAGTCTCGGCTCTTTCGGCCATTTCGACGAATTCTGGACCTACTTCACTCGGAAAGACGTGACCTCCAAACTGGACAACTTCTATTGGCTGTCGGGCACAAGAAAGCCTCACAAAACTGTCATGTTTTCCATTGGATGGAGTACACAAGTCGGCCAAAAGGCCGTACAAATTCGAGTTCTCAACCCCAAGCCCCGGAAACTGTTGCTGTCCATTGTTGAGTTGACCTCAAGACTAGAACTCTCCTCACCGATTGACACCATCAATCAACTCTCCGAGACACCCGACAACCCAGCCGCCTGGACGACAAGACAACTGTTGACCTACACACACACACTGACAGACGAGAACAGACTGGAGGATAGTGCCAACTTCCGTCTTGAGAGCGAGCTCTTCATAAATGCCGCCAAAGTGTACACCGTCGACTTGGCGACGTGGAAGAACACCTCAAACTTCGACCTTTTCATGCTACAACTCGACACCAACCTGCTCGGCAAACAGTGTCGTCTCGAGGCCAATGTCAATTGGATGACTCAGTTGCGTGCTCATGTCCACGCCAGACTGGCGCCGAACTGTTTCGGTCTTCCAAACCCGCCCAGGCTGACCTTTGACACGCAGCTCAACTTGCCCACTCGCCTCGCTTGGCTCCGAAAGTCGCTCGGCATGGAGTCGATCTCGCCAGCGGCCCGATCGCCTCGTAGAACACGTCAACTGATCGCGATCCGAGAGTTGGACTCGACACTTCCGAGCCACTTCAACCTCAGACCCGACACACTCTACAACCACACAGTGCCCGGTGAACCGACAATATGGAGCCTTGACGACAAGCTTCCTCTCTTTCGCAGAAGCAACCTTTATCTGCCTCTCTACGACAGACAACTGAAACTGTCTTTTGCCGAGCACGAGATCAGCCTCAGTCTTGCACCTCGTCGGGAAGACGCCGACCTCGAGATAGCCGTTGTCATGGTGAAAAAGGTTGAGTCTGGTGTCTTTCTGCAGTTGCGCGATCCCTTTTTCGGCAGTTCCATTCTCTTCAATTACAGCCTCGCCGACGCAGAGCATCATCACGTCAACTGGCACCTCAAGCCTGGCTCTCTGGCCTCACTGTTGGCCCTACAGACGATCGGCGGTAGTCATGCGCATCTCTCCCACCCGACAGGATTCACACATGAATCACACCTCTTTTACGGTCAGCTGTGGCGACCTCAGCTTCATGTGCATTTCAACGCGTTGAACGGAAGTACAGCCAGTCTCAGCTTTTTCACTCCGACCCTTTCGAGTGTCCGGTTGTCATGGAATCCAGCGGACGATCAGGCGGCCGGTCTGTTGTGGTTGGAGATGAAAAAGCCCAATTCCACGTTGTCGCAACAAGTCATTTTGGCCCAAATTGACCGGACCGCCGAGGAACGCGAGACCATTCAGGGACATCTACAATTGCATGGTTGGCGTTTGGTGCTACCGTTGACCCGTCTGCCGCGGATCGAGTTGTCGCGAGCCAGCTCCACCGTTTTGGCGATCACTTTGGACCGACCCAACCTTTGGCGTCTGCAAGGCCTATTCGTGAAGACGTCCACCAGCCTCACCCTCGTCTCGGATGTGGAATCGGCCAATTTGCTCGGCTTTCGTACCTCCGTCGACCTGACCACGCCACAGAAACACATCGGGTTGGTCGTCTTTGTGCCCGCCCAACCCCGGCGTCTGCCCTGGAAGGTGACTCTCCAAACGGTACCATTTCTCCCCTCCAACCCGTTAGCGCTGATCGGCAATCTGTCTGTAGAGGCGGTCTCCAGCCAACTTGGTGGCCTCAGTCTCCTCGTCACTCGTGATCTGATTGGTCGGAAGAGAGGCTTTTTCAAGGTTTCATCACAACCCTCCTCTTGGCAGGTCACCACAAATTGGCCCAAAAAAGAGACCACCTTTTTGTTGACTCGAACGCCCGCAATGTCCAAGGCTCTGCTACTTCTCGGTGATGTCGAGGCGAAATGGCAACTAAACCGACAGTCCGGCACTCTTGAAGCTTCGTTGGAGCGAAATGATCTCGCCTGGTCGCTGAAGTATCAGCAGGAACAGAAGGCCGTGAGTCGCAGGCTGCGGCTGCAACTTTCCCAACTCAGTCTGGACTGCAACTACTTCGACTCGGAAATGGGCGGCAGAACCAACCTTCAAGTGGACTATCGTGGCGACAACAACAGAGTCTTCTATCTGGCCTTGGATGGTCCGCCGTGGCAACTGAATCGGCTTGATCGTATCATCTACACGCATGGTACAGTCGGCTTCAAGCTGGCCAGAAAGTTGGGCCACTTGACTGCTGACTTGCGCGTCGAGGCCAAGGTCCACTTCACGACCGACCGACACACCGACAGTGCAACACACAGACTGACGATCGAGGATCCCAATTGGACTGTCTATCTGCGAAGCCTAAGTGTGCATAGCAACAAAACGATTCATCTGCTCAAGGTCGACTCCCCAATCGCCCCCTTAGACGGGCTTCAGATGAGCCTGGCAGAAGAGATGAGTTCTGAAAGTCGTCGGTTTCAGGTCACCTCCGCCAGACTGGGCACGTGGGCTCTGAGACTGGCCAGTCTGTCACGAGTTTCCGCCAATCGAGTCGAGCTGAGGGCCAATCAAAGACGAGCAGATGTCTCGTGGGATTCGGTCGAGGGCAGTCTCGATTTGATCTACTTGCCGCGGCTGGACAGTCCAACGGCCTGGGGCCTTAGACTCATACAGAATGATCAACGAGTTTTGGTGAAAATGGAAAATCCCGTGTGTGATTTTGTAAAATTGGAGCACAATTACAGTCTCGACGGACTTCGAGTTCACGGCGACCTTTTCGGTTGGAGTCAATACGAAGTGTGGAACGACAACAATACCATCGGAGTGAAGATGAGCCTAAGTACAGGAAGACTGGGCACATTTGCAAAGTACCCTTTAGTCGCGTTGTCGCTTCGCTCCCTCTCGGCGACCACCTTCAAGGGGGCGTTGAGCATCGGCGATGTCTTCGCCTCCAACTGGCACACGAGTCTGGAGCAGGCGGGCAAGACGACTTGGAATGTCGACTTTGACATTCTGGCAGTCACGTACAGAGCCACTCTCTTGAAGGTCCACTCGGCGGGTCGAAAAGAGACTTGGCTGTCGGCAAGACTGTTGCCGGGCGGTCTGGCGGACACAGGCACAACCATGCCGGAAGCAGATGCTCTGCTCGAGTTCACCTGTACCACTCGGCCAGATCTGCTCAACTGTAGTCTTTCGGTTGAACCGACGAGCCAGGCCGTCCGAGTCGACGTTGTGTGGACCGCGGAACCGCGAGTTGACATTCGCCTCTTGTCACACAACTACACACTCCTCGAACTCATCGCCGGATGGACGTCTGTCACTGCTGAACGGGTGGGTATGGGAAATCTTCACATGACCGCCTCCGTGGTGACAATGTCTCAGAGACCGATACAGACTGACGTCAATCTAGTGAATGCCCGATCGAGATCGGATCGCGTCGATCGACTTCTGTTCGCCTGCGGCCTAGCCGATCGGCAGCACTGGAGATGTCACATGTCGATGAGACAGGCCATGGCAACCGGTGAAGAAGATTCCCAAGACGAGGTTGTTCTGACCCTTTTCAATGCGTCCATTCGCCTCGAACCAGCTCCACAAGCCGGCCTCGCACGCCAACGACTCATTCTGCACTATTGGCGCGATCCTTTGAGCCTGGGCTACCTACAGCGACGGTTGGTCAAGACAATCTCCACCACCCTCGGCCATTTAGCGCCGTTCCGGAGAGCTCTTTCTCCCATTCAACCGGTTGCCAGTCACTTGGCCGCGTCAGTCTTCAACGCCAGTCATGCTCTCACCCATCTCGATTGGTGCCGTCTGACAGGACAACGAAATGCCTGTTTGTCGTCATGGCGACATCATTCAGTTGCCAAGTGGGCAACTCGTCTGCCCGAGGCTCTTAGAGACGACGTGATGCGAAGACTTGATAGGCTGGAGTTCTTCTTCTCCTCGACTGAGCATGCCTTGCTCGTCTGGCCGAAGGTGAAAGTACAGCGGCTCTGTGTCGGGATGTTTGAGAGGCTGGAGAACCTGATTGACGACGGTATCCATGCCACGGCTTGGCTCGGCCGAGAGACGAATCGAGTAAAACGCCGCTTTCTCGCTAAACTCATCCACGGCACAACCGGCCTCGTGGACGGTTTGGACAAACTGGAAAAGCGTGTTGAGAAGGAGTGGCTGTCTCCTGCGGCTGAGGCTGAACGGGCAAAAGCAATGACATCGCAGCTGTGGTCTGCGCTGTCGCTGGTGGCCCGGCAGGAGACGGATGGCGGCCTGAATCAATTGCGGTTCCGACTTCCCGGCATTCCGGTGGTTTCGGTGACCATGTCCAATCGACGAGTGGCTAATATCGCAGAAACCAGTTCACGCTTAACCGGCCAGTTGGGCGCCAGAGTGCATG